ACCTCTCCATCCCTCTCCCTCATAGGAGGCTTCTTACTGGCTTCCCCATCCTTAATCTTGCCTTGCTTTATGGCCGACTCAATCATTTCTCCGGCCATAACCAAGTCTGAAAAGCTTCCTGATGTGATCGCCACCAGATGCCCGAAGTATGGAGCCTTCAGAGTCTGTACGAAAAGTTTCCGGGTTTCCTTTTCATCTAACGGTGGATGAACTTGCACAGCCAAGTCCCTCCATTTTTGTGCGTACTGCCTGAAACTCTCGTTATGCTTCTTTTCCATGTTTTGTAGCATAACTCGATCTGGCCTTATGTCATTGTTATGCTTGTATTGTTCCAGAAATGACTTGGCCAGGTCCTTCCAGGTCTTGATATTTGATCGGCTTAGCTGGTTGTACCACCGAATGGCTGAGCCCGACAGACTATCCTGAAAGCAGTGGATCAGGAGTTGGTCGTTTCCTCCATATCCTGTCATCTTTCGGCAGAACATGGTGATGTGAGCGGATGGGCAACTATTCCCGTCAAACTTCTCGAACTCCGGGGACTTAAATTTCGGGGGAAGAACCAAGTCCGGGACTAGACTAAGTTCCGTTGCATCGATTTCATGGTAGTCACGGTCTCCTTTGACTATATTCATTTGGTCCTCCAATTGTTTGATTTTTTCCTCCATCTTCCTCGCTTTTTCCTCTTCATCCAAATCCGGTACATGGTAATAACCCGGATTGTTCCTAGGGTTAAATACAGAGGACAAGGGCTTGATTTGCAGCAGATGAGTCCCCTCGAAGTTCTGGTAAGATTTCAGGTGAGATAACCACTTGTGGGGTAGGTTGTATAGTTACCCCTTCCGATGAACCTGCCCCAGGCGCACTGGTCTGTTGTAGGCCAATTAACTTGGCAACGATCTGATCAACCAAGGACTCTTGGTTCTTTGTGATTGTTTCTAGAGTATTTCGACTGTTCTGGTTTATTTTGTCTTCTAGCTCCTTTTGTAGTTTTAACATATTCTCCTCGATTTGTGTAATTCTGGCTTCCATCCTCTTCTTCTTCAAACGAGTGTATGTGGATGGGTGTGTCCAATACTTGAGGCGGTGTATCCAGTATTTACTCCTTTTGATGAGACATGTATATATTAGTTAATGTGAATGCAAAGAAAATACAAAATGCCAAGAAAATAAGAAATGCAAATGTCTAATATGTGATGCATGAAATGTCCGAGGCATTGATCCAAAAAATGTGCTTGTTATTCTGAATAACCCTTATTGGTGACAAAAGTGTTACGTCTGAAGAGACAAAAAAACTCTTTTTGATGGTACAAATCTTGTACATCTTCTGACAAGTTAATTCGTCTTTTCACTAGTTGAATATCCTGTCGCACCATTCCGGCTCCTTTGGCTAAAATGTGCAAATAATGAGATGCTTGCCCCAAAAAAAGATCTCGAAGGACTGCATCTTCGACTTTCACTTTCTACGAGCTTGTTTCTAACGAAAGTGTCATGGAGCCTTCCATCGAGAGAAATTATCCGAAGCTTGCCTCTTGAATTTGTCAGTAATGGCATCCAGCTCAGCTAGTGTTTTACCATCTTGTTCTTGTAGTTTTCGAAAGGATCGACCGGGTCAGTGACCTTTTCCTCGTATTGCCCCTGTAACTTTGCCTTTGAGTATTCTTTGACCACGGTTGGACTTCTGAGTTTTTTTGTTTTTTATCTCTTTGTATTATAACCCATTCGTCCATTAATGCAGATTATTCATGTTTAACAAACACATTTTTGGTGGATCAACACATCGTTTTAAATGATGCAAACGATGAACACAAAATAAAATAGAACAAAAAATAAAAGGGTTAGTGAGGTAAATCAAAACAATAAAAAAATGAAAAATCCTACCCCACATGATATCTACCCCTCATGCTTTAATTCCTACCCGGACATGATTTCTATTCCGCATGCTAATTTAAACAAATCCTAACCGCATATTTGTCTAGTTCGCATGCTTTGAACAGAAAATAAAGCAGGAAACAAAGCATCCTAGGGTTTGGAATGAGTTTTGGGGGGCTCTACTTCCCTGTACTCTCCCGGTTTAGGTTCTAAAAACGTACTCGAGTTCTCCTTGCCGGTGCCCCTTGGGCTTACCAGACCCTTAGTTCTAAACCCATCACAGGCTTGTGTGGACTAAGTTAAACTCGAGGGGACACATTCCCTTATGCCCGCACGGTGAATAAATTCACACGAGACATAAGGTATATGAATCCCGAAGGCTACTTGCTAGGCATATGCGGTGAATAAATTCACACGAATGCATCGCTTTCACCCCCACTTAAAAGGGTTCGGAGCTCGGTTTAGAGCTTAGAGATGACAATTTTGAAAAAATCTGAAATCATTAAAAAACATCAGTACAACTATTTATTTGAAACAAATAATCAAAGGTAATAATTGGAATCGAATAGATAAATTAAAATTTAAATTTACAATTTTCGCATAAAAAGAACGGAAAATTAATTCTGGCCTGACTCACTTACCTGTCCCCAGTGGAGTCGCCAAGCTGTCGCAACCGTCTTTCGGTTGGGCCCCGGAATTGGGCTTCGACTTGAAAAATGGGTTAGGAGTCGCCACCGACCACTTTAAAACGAATTTAGGTGGGTCGGACACCATCTTACCTGATCTACGTTGTACCAGAAATGTGTCGGGTTCGGAGTCGTTACGGTCAAGGAAGGATTAGCACCCTTGACCGCCCTTTCGGTACCATTAATTTATCGGTTGTCTTTAATTGCGAGAAATTAGAAACTTAAATTAAATTTAAAACCGATTCAGATTACTTACCTTTGATCATTGAAAAAGACCCTTAAAAAAATGAAAGTGTTAGATTTGTAAAGAAGTGAAAAACCAACTTAATAAAAAATGCATAAATACGAAATAAATAAACAACATAAAAAAATGATAAAGTCAAATAGAAGGAACAAAATAGAATGATAAAATAAACAAAAATAAAATAAATATATAAAAAAGGACCGAATTGAAATAACCAGAAATCAAGGGTTAATTTGCGAAATGCAAAAAGCATAAACGTGACCAAATTGAATACTCGAAGTTCAAGGCCAAATTGCATGTAGTGACCAATTGTAAAGCGATTTAAGCTCTTATGGACGGCGGAGAGAGTTTAACAATACTGTAATTGCACTATGGTCCTTGGTATATAAACCTAAAAATCCCTTATTCTCCTTCATTCTCACCATTCCACTCAAGCTCTCCTCTTTTAAACGAGAGAAAGCTCTCTCGATGCCCTTCACCGGCGATATCCGCCACCGTCTGGTGGCCCACTCAACGCACCACCGCCGTTTCGCCGTCGCCACCGGCGGTCGGAAAAACCCAATCCCACCAAATGCTTCTCTCAAGCCCGTCAACCTAACCCCGAGCACCGATCACGCAAAAACAACCTCCAAATGGCGTAGATCTAGGCTTTAAACCTTCGATTTTTACCTTTCACTAAAACCGCTCGTCTTCCCGGCGTTTTGTTTTTGGCTTTTGCTTGTTGGTTTGTTGTTGTTCCTTGGTTTGATGTGGTTTCTGTTTTGTTGGTCGATGGTTTATGTTGGTTCTGTTTTTACTTGTTGTGGTTTGAACTCTTGGTTACTGTTGATCCGTTGTGGTTCTCCTTGATCTTGTTTTGGTTATTTGGTTTACTGTGTTTATGCTTCTGAGATTTGCGTGGTTTATGGTTGGTTCTGTTTTTACTTGTTGTTGGTTTGAACTCTGGTTTACTGTGATCCGTTGTGGGTTCTCCTTGATCTGTTTTGGTTATTTGGTTTACTGTGTTTATGCTTCTGAGATTTGCGTGGCTGTCCCCCCCCTCCTGATGGCCGTGGTGGGATATTTTATACCCACCCCCACCGGGGGTCTGCTCCGATGATAACGGTAACGTGCTCGTGGTTAGTTGGCCGGGATTTCGGGATGGGTCAGTCCCGATCTCCTCGGCCGGAAATCTCGGTGGCCGGTGTGACTGACCCTTGACCTCCTTGGCTTACTGCGCCTGTTTGAACATACGTTGGAACCCTAATCTGAGCTCTGGGCTGGATCAGGCCCTCGAGACTTATTGGACTGTTTGGACCCTGAAAAAAACATAAAAAAAATAATAAGAAGAATAAATAATAATAATACTGATATAATATAAATTATAATACATATTTCAAAAATATTTTTTAAACTATATATTATATTTAAAAAAGTTTCAAAACTATATTATATAGTTTTCAAAATGTTTTAAAAATATTATATAAGTTTTAAAAAAACGTTTTTAAAACTATATATATATAATTTATTCAAAATGTTTTTTTAAAACTATATATTATATAATTTATTCAAAAATGTTTTTTAAAACATATTATATAAGTTTTTAAAATGATTTTAAAACTATATGTTACCCATATTTTCAAAATGTTTTCTTTTTAAAAACTATATATTATATATATATTTTCAAAAACCGTTTGCAAACCATATAATATATATAGGTATATATGTATAAAATAATAATAAAAAATATGGACGAAAATTAGTGTCTACAATGATAAACTAAGAGATTTCAGTTTAACCACCGATCTTTTAGTTTTAGTTTTGTGAGTCAAACTATCAACTATTTAAATGATATGAATCTAATCACGTTCATCGACGAGACAATTAATAAAATTGATATAATTATATATTTGATCTTTAATGTTTTGCATAAATTTATCAAATGTGTAAATATTGAGGACCATATGTATAATTATATTAATTTTGTTAACTCTGACCTCAGTTCCTCCATCAACCTATAATGGAAGGTTTAGCGAAAGGTGGTATAATTTACATAATTTACATAATTTAAATAGTTAAATAGTTTGATTGATAAAATTGAAAGAACGGTGGTTAAATAGTTAGATGATCATGGGTGTAATTTACCATTTTATTAATGGGTATTTTCAAAATTTATTACAACTTGACAACCTCGTATAATGTTTGCTCCTTGTTACTCGCAGGCTGGAACTTGGGAGGAGAAAAACCTTAATAACTGGGCTACACAAAGATTAAAGGTTTTTATACAAAACTATGCTTTCTTTTATATATAATGTGTGTGTTTGTATATCTAAATTTAAAGCCTCAAACGTACTGAAAATCCAGTTTTATTTTCCAGGAATTGCTTAAATCTGTAGGCACATTGGACTTACCTCGCGGCATAGCGGAAATTTCTGAATTAACCAAGTGTGTTAGTGATGTCAGTTTTTTAACTTTCATTATTCTATTTTAATCTTATAATGTTATTTGACACCATTGATGTAGCTGTACTAAACTGCATCTATGGCTGTGCATATCGATTTTAATCTTCTTTCCTGACGAATATTACCGATTGTGCAGGCATTTTTGGTGACTGTACGAAACAAGAAGCGAGTAGGCTATACATATGAGTTGACATTAAAAATCGAAGGTAAGTTGGGTCTAAATGTGGTGTTAGGCTTTACTTGCTGAGCTTATTTATCATTTTTCTCTGATCAAATTGTGACTGAACCAATATCAGGCGAGTGGCATAGACGAGGAGAAAAAGTCTGTTAAGGGCCATATTGATATCCCAGAATTCTCATTCGGCGAGCTCGATGACTTGCAGGTACGATTGAGTTGTGTGTTAGTGATTATCAATTTGGTGTAGAAGAGGTACTAGGATAAACTTGTTGACTAGATCTAGGCATGAATTCTTTGACATGTTATGATGCATGGGCCTAAGGTACAAACTCGACGACTTCTAGTGCTAGGATTGTTTTTGGTGTAGAATATGTCTTACTATGGCTGTAAATGAGCCGAGTCTAGCTCAAGTATTGTTGAGCTCGACTCGAAAACTCTAAAATGAAGTTTGACTCGACTTGAAAACTCGCAAACTTAAAATTTTCAAGCTCTATTCAACTAAGCCGAGTCTAGCTCAAGTATTGTTGAGCTCGACTCGAAAACTCTAAAATGAAGTTTGACTCGACTTGAAAACTCGCAAACTTAAAATTTTCAAGCTCTATTCAACTAACTAGAAACCATCAATTGAAGCTCATAAAAGCTCGAAATGAAAAAAAAATATTGAACTTAACTCGATTGAAACATCAAACTCAAAACTCAAACTTGAACCTTAAACACATGAAAATCTTATATTTCAATATTTTTTAAATCAACACATAAATGGTAATATTATTAATAATTATTTTAAAAAATAAAATTTTAATATATTATATTTTCAAGTTTCTTGCGAGAGTATCAAATAGCTCGTTTCGGTTCGTTAAGAAATCTAGTCAAGCTCGAGTCAAGTCCATTCGAGTCTAATAGATATCGAGCTTTGACCGAGTCGATCTCGAGTAGCTTACGATCTGTCTCGTCTCATTTACAGCCCTTTTGATTACTATTTATTTAGATGATGTTTAGGTTGACTTCCAAAATTTGGATTCTATACTTGATCTTGGTTGAAGAAAAGTAAGAACACAGTTAAAGCCCCAACATAACATGAACAAATAACATGTACAATATGTAAATGTTGGAATTTGTTGGAAGCCATATAACACGAATTATTAGCGTGATAGAATTTATAGAATATATCACTATTATGGCTTAATTTTTTTTTGACGTTTATATTTTTTTTTTCAATTTAGCCCTTATGCTTTTTTTGAGCTAAATTTGACCCTCAATCTTAAAAAAAGTCGAATCACATTTTAACAAAAATGCTGACTAACAATTTTGAAGTGACAACTTATATGGCACCATAAGTATTTCATGCTGACGTACAACAAATAATTTAAAATTATAAAATTTTCAGAAAAAATATTACGAGTTCCTAAAAGGAATCTATGAATTATACATGGAGTAACATGTGAGATCCCATGTCAATGGCATTAAAATTTCCACGTTTTAATCAGTATTTCTGTTTAAAAATAGCGACTCAACTCTTTTTTAAAGGCCGAGGACTAAATTTGACTCTTTTTGAAAGGTTTAGAGCAAAAATAACTCAAAAACAGAATAAGGATCAACATAACAAAAAATAAGAATGTTGAGAGCTAGTTTTATCTTTACGTCTTAAATTTTTTTATGGGTTAATGTTCAAATTGATGCATGGTCTTGTCTTCTTGGTTAAAGAAACCATAGCATCAATTGGAACCAAGAAGTTCAGATGCCAAGTCAAATTGGACCTTCAAATCTAGTTCAAGTTCCAAAATGTATTTCTATAGAACGGGATAAGAATGTGATTTTAGATATAGGTTTAAGGAAAACTCAATGATATTTTAAAGTTAAAATTAGCGCAATAATGATGGTGTTGATGGAAATTTATTTTGAGATCTATGACATTTACTATAGTACTTTGGAAGTTGTCACGGGAAACGAGTTTCAATAAAATATGATTTTTTTATTAGAACTTGTTATGTTCCCGTGATAAGTTTCAATAAGAAAATATTTTTTATTAGAACTCGTCATACCTACGTGACGAGTTTCAAAACATTGTAGTAAATGTCATAGATCCCAAAATGTATTTGAAGGTGTCCTATTTTGCTAATTAATTATTCCGCCTGCATTGTCTGTCTGATTTTGTCTAATTTTAAACCCTAAACCTAACCTTAGGGGAGTAATATTATTTTCCACATTACATCCCGTAGTTACATGTGAGGCATTGGTAAACTATCGACTTTTTGTACCATAAACTGCTAAACAAATGTTCTCTGTGTATTTCCAACCATAGATGGAAGTGAAGCTTAGTGAAGAGAAGGATTTCATGCAGCAAGACAAGCTGCAAAATATCCGGGACTCGAAGAAACTATTTCTGCATCCGGTCCGGGAGAAATTGCTTCAATTCGAGCAGGAACTCAAAGATCGGTGGCAAGGGTTCATCTTTCGTTTCATTTAAACTCGGGTTTTTGGTGAAACCTCGAGCAAAAGCGAAGACCAAATTAAGAATTCACCTATTTAAAGAACTAAATGTGAAATCAAGCCTAAGATGGAAGCTCTAATATTAATCTTAATTAATTGTGCAAAAATTAAAACACTAATTGAAGTTTAGGGACTATAAAGTCAAGATTTAAAAAATACTGATTTCTAAGAGACTAAAAGTTTAGGGACCTAAATCAATAAATTCTAAAGTTGAGGACTAAATCTAAACTAAAAGCTTAATTATTATCTAAATTATTAAACCTAAAGTAAATTTTTAAAAAAATATTAATTATTAATAAATTTTAAAAAGTCGAGCAATCGATATCGAGTAATCGGATATCTTATGTGAAAACTCGACTCGAATTGCTCCCTAATTAAACTAGAGTGTAGTCCTAATTTCTAAATTTGATTCGAATGTTAATCTAATTTAAAGCTAAATCTAAAAATTTAAATATGAAATATGAAACAATTAATAAACTTAATAAAATAAAAAAAACATAAAATAAAAGAAAAAACAACATAAATTAAAAAATAAAATAAACCTACATTTAGGGACCTAATTGCATAAATTTGAAATTACTGAACTAAAAGAGAATAAATTAAACATGCAATAGGGGCTAAATTAAAATAAATTAAAATTTGAAGTCTAATTCGAAATAAAATAAAACTAATAGATTAATGACTAAAATACAAAACATGCGTAATATATAGGGACCTAAGAGAAAATTTTCATTTTTATTAAGCCTAAAAAGTAGACTGTTAAATAAAAAAGGTAAAATTATAGAATCAATCCACATACATTTAAAAAAATTAAATAGTCACTACACATGATTAAAATGCAAAAACACGGCAAACTTAAAGGGACCAAAAAGAAATTACACCAAAATAAATAAAAATAAGCAAATAAAAGGAAAAAATATCAGTTTTGGTCCCTACAGGAACCGAAATGCAAAAACACGGGTAAGTTGGGGGATCAAAACGCAAATAAACAAAAAAAACAAGGTATGCACAGAAAAGGTCAAATGGCAGTTTTGGTCCTTAAAGGGACCACGGTGGCCGAAGTTCCCAAAATGATCCAAAAAACCCGCTGAACGTAGATCCACTAGCCTAGGACATTTTTAGGGGGTAGAGCCACCGAAAAAAAACCTAAAACTCCAAAAAAAATCCCCGAAACCTTTCGATTTCCCATATTCTAGCAACCTCCGTTGAGCCCCCTTCGACTTAGGTAAGCCCCAATATACCTCTTTTATTTATTTTTATTTTATTATTTTACTGTAAAATATTGGTTTGTTTTGATTGATTCTAAAAACCAAAAAATATATATCTTTTTTTATTCGAATCTAAAGGTTTCTGTTTTGTTGATATTCGAATATAAACGAAAAAAGAAAATAAAAATAAAATATACTGTAAAAAAAGGATAAATAATCTTAAAAAAATTTATTGATGCCTGGATCTCTCCCAAGAAAACGAGAGAGTTACAAAGTTTTTGCTTCTGGATCTCTAACCGAGAGGACCTTGTTTTTCATTCGAGATTTATACCCGTTTTTACAGAAAAAATGAATGATAACTCTTTTTTTTTGTTGTTGTTGTTTGTTTCTGCAGGTGGCGTGGAGATGGTGGCTTCATTAGCATTGGAGCAGAGAGGGGTGGCCCTCGGTTGGAGGAAGTGGATGGTGGCCACTGATTGGTTGTTTGGGCGGCTACAAGGCTAGGTTAGGTTTCAGGTAGGGTTTGGTTGGGTCCCAGGTCAGATTAGTGTCTGGGTCGGGTTAAGGCTAGTTTGGGTTTTAATCGATTTTGGTCCTTTTTTTATTTGGGTTAGGGGTTTTGATTTGTTTGGGCTCTGTAAAAATGGTGCTCACACTAGGTATTAAAACAAATTATTTTTTTTGAAAAAAGTATTAAAACAAATTAAAACTGATAGTTTAGGTATTAAATGCATAATTTACTTTTTTTAAGAAAAGTTTTCATGTTTAAGGATGAGTCTACAATGAGTTTCATTCATTGACATGCATTGAAATACACCATTAATATAAAATAGGGTAAAAATAAATAAATAGTCACAAAAAATTTTAAATTAATTTTATGTAGCAATGAATTTTTAAAAGTTACAAAATAGACATTAAACTTTAAAATTTATTAAGAAATAAATAACAATCATTAAATGTTATTAAGGGGTGACATAACATACTAAATTAATGAAAAATATCTTATTTAGCCCCTCAATTATAATAAAAATTTTATTTTAATAATTTTCATTGTTTTTAAGTAATATTTCTACAAAATTAAAAAATTTAGATTTTTTATAAAAAATATGAAAATAAATTATTTTTAAAATTAAAAAATATTTTCAAAAAATTCAGTTATCAAAGAATGAAGTCAATTTTTATTAAGCAAGAAATATCAATGGTTAAACGAAATAAAATAATCATGTTTAACCATCTTTTAATAAAATTAAAAAATATTTTCAAAAAAATAGTGGTGAATTGCAAGGAATGACATGCATTCTAGAATTTTCCTATGTTTAACCAAATTGGTTTAATGGAATAGGCTAGATCTTTTAAACAAAATAAGGGATCGAATTCTAACGTTATGAATAGAGTAAATTAGGTTGAGAGTATTTTATCTAAATTAATCAATCAATAGATGAAATATCAATGGTTAAACGAAATAAAATAACCATGTTTCATATATTTTGTTCGACGTATATTCGGATATTTATGTAAGATATAATCCTCTAAATATATGGCAAAACTTCAATAGAATTATGCATAATTGTGTATATGTGATATATCTTTGAATTTATATACTATAAATTGATTCATTGCGTATGATTCTTCAAATTTATGAAAAACTTTGACATAATATTGTATGTGTATAATTTAGGGATAGTGTGAGCATTTGATCGAGTCGAGTAAAAAATTTCAAGTTATTCGAGTTGACGAGTCGTATTTTACGATTCAAATTTAACTTGAATTTTTTTCGAGTCGAATCGAGTTTAAGAAATTTGAGTTGAGTTATTTGAGTTTCTATACTAATTTTATTGTAACTATTTAGAGTATTATGACAATGATTTGTTGCAATTTTTGTACTTTCTCTAACCGTATAATATATATATATATATTCTTTTCACATTATAGTATTATTTAATATATCAAATACAATTTAAAATTATGAAATATATTCATAATATTATATTTTAAAGAAATTATTTTGAGGGTAAAATATTAATGAGAGTATAAAGGAGTTAAGGAATTGATGGGAAGAAAGAATTTGAAAGCAAGTGTAGTCAAAAGAGCAAATTGAGTAAACTGCAAAGTTAAAGGATTAAATAAAAAAGAGAGTGTATTTTTAGTAACAAGTGAAAATTGAAGTTACATAGGTATATCATTGTGGTATATGAGCATGTGGTTCAAATTTGGTAAAAAATTGATTTAAAATAAAATGATAAATTAAAGAAATAAGGAAAATATGAAAAACTGAAGGACTAAATTGAAAAATAAAAAATTTGTTATCAAAAAGAGGAATTGAAAATACATGTATATTTTTGGCCTGGTTTAGGAGTACGTTGTTCAAATTTGATAAAAAAAATGGACTTAGAATGAAGGAGAAATTGAATAAATAATGAACTCAAAGACTAAATTATAAAATTGTCAAAATACTTATTCAATTTTTTTGTTTTCGAGTAACTCGAAATTTCAACTAGACTTGAATTTGAAAATTGAATTGATCATTCGAGTTGACTCGAATAAATCGACTCAAATAACTCAAAATTAAAATTAAAATTGATTTTTCGAGTTGAGTCGAGTTTTACTCAACCATATTCAAGGATTTAATTATTTTTAAGTCTTCTTAATTTTGAAGGTAGACAAATAAGTATTCCCCCTAATTTTTTGGATTCAATTGTTTTTTTAGATCTCTTAGTTTTGAAATAATGTGAATTAGATACTAACACCCTATTTTCTAAGTACAATTACTTTTTAGATCCCTCGTAGTTTTGAAACAAGGGGAATTAAGCACTAGTTTACTATTTTATAAGTTTAAATGCTTTGTAGGTCCCTTTCTATTTCAAAACTAAACAAATTAGATCTTAGTCCCTCCATTTTAAATTTTAAAGAGTTAATTGTTTCACACGTCCATAAACTACAACTCTCATTCTAAATTAATCCTTAAACTTTTGGATATTCTAATTTCATCCCTAAACTATGACTCACATTCTAAATTAATCCTCAAACTTTTGAACATTCTAATTCCATCCTCAAATTATGGCCTCAAACTATGACTCCCATAGTTTAACCTAAATTTTATATTTTTTCAAACATATAATAGTATAACTTGGTCTAACGATTTTAATAACGGAGGATTTGATTAGCATATACTAATAGTTTGAGATGAAATTGAAATGTTTAAAAAATTGTTGGGATGAGATTGGAACATTCAAAAGTTTGAGGACTAATTTAGAATGAGAGTCACAATTTAGGAATATAATTGAAATATTTAAAAATTTAACGATTAATTTAGAATGAATATCATAGTTTAAGGATGTACGATGCAGCTAACTCAATTTTTAATTGATCGCTTAACAATTATAGTCTAACCATTATTTTGTTCCTATTTATATTTCTCCTCCTGAAGTTTTATCCTGACTTCGTCCTTATATATATTATATGTTTTTTCATGTATCTATGAGATGTGAATCAATATTTTTGAGAGGGGAAGGTAAAAGATGGTAGAATTGTTGTTGTGAAAAGACTGTCTCATGAGAGATCCCAACAAGGAGAGGCAGAGTTTGTTTCGATGTGAGGTTGCTCACAAGCTTCCAGCACCAGAACTTGGTTCGCCTTCTCGGATGTTGCTCCGACGGGACTCGACGTTTGCTTGTATATGTATATATGAAGAATGGTAGCTTGGACCACATTGTATATGGTATATATAACTCAACCCAATCCTCCTTTTTCTTCTATAATT